TACTTACCATTTACAACAGTCATCACCATTTTGTAAATACAGGCTCTACCACTGGTCATCCGCCAGTCAAATACCAAGATGGTATTTCTTTCATCAAGTTTTTTCTTGCAAAGTTTTAAGTCAAATCCAGTACAGAAGTTTCCACCTACTGGACCTAGAACAAGAAGATCTTTAGTCTAGAAAGAAAAAAAAAAAGTTATTAAAAACAAACAATACTTGTATAACACCAAATACAGAAACAGATCTATATTGTAAAACACAACAGACTACAAGTTGATTCTACATTCAGTGGGTTCATTCTACGTTCACACATCAGTAACACTTCCAATACAGATCTATAGTCTAAAGATGATTCTGTACTTTAGATTCAGTGGGTTCATTCTATGCTCAGTTAAAGGAACCAATATATTAACAGTTATAAACTTATTATGTGAAGTTCAACAAGACTTAGCATACAAGGCATGGCAAGCGAGTACAAACTTCGTTACAATCGTAGGTAGTAGAAATCATTGTTTTATATTTACTGTTCTATGTTGTATGAAAAATTAATGAAATTTAATAATTTATTTGTAAACAGCAATAATATATATACATACGTAATGAATTATAACAGAAATGTGACTGTATTTTACAAAATACTAGTCCACTAGAACAAAGCTAAGACATGTCACTTTGTAAAGGCCAGTTTTATGCTATTGGATAAGGTAACATGATGTGCACATGCAACTTGTGTGACACTGTTTAGTCAGTCACAGCTGAAAGGTCGATAAAAACAATAAATAGAAGTTGATGTATAATGTTACGAGATTTAAGCTATTTAGAATAAACGTTTATGTTTTCGTGTTGTAATTTGTAAAATGTAATTTAGATCTATTTCCTAATTTTTAATGGTGGTTACAAGGTTGGTCAATTTGACCAGATCCATATAGATCTAAATAAAGAAAATAACGGATAAGATGTAAAGCTTTTTGAAAAAAAATGTTTTAAAGTTATTAGGAAGTTTTGGAAATTTTGAAAATAAAATTTGACAATTTTCTGATGCATAAAACTATTTTTAATCTTAAAATCAAAATTACTCTGCACGTGGACAGTCAACATTTGAAAAGAAAAAATGCACGAGCAAATCTTTAATTAAAGAATCTAATATTTTGAGTAAAGTTTTGTAATGATTACTGATAATCTGTAAACATTTTGGAATGGATGGCTTATATATAAATAAGGTAGAGACTGGCTTTAAAATATAAGATGTAGAGGTATAGTGTAGGAACAGGGTAAAAAGGAATGTTTACTGTTGTTATTGTAATACTATAATAAATAACATGAATTAGTGTTAGATCACTGGTGAGATTTTTATATAATGGGAACAACTGAAAGCTGGATAAATGTGGACAATTCTGATGACAGAAATTTAATATACAAGGTTCCAAATATTAAAATAGAAAATGTTGAAGAGATGATACCAAAAGGTTAATATCTGATGATTCTTGGCTGGCTGGCTTATTAAATTAATACCTTTTAAGCTTTTACTAATGACCATTTAAGCAATGTTCCTCACTCTGTACAATCGATAGATGGAAACAAGACAGTAACAGACGATCACATTAATTCTGAGTTTGTTAAGTTTAAAGAATGATACAGTACCTAGGCCAGATAATATTTACACAAGGGTTTTGAAAGAGGTTAAGGATTTGATATGTGAGCCACTTGCTATTATTTTTTGCAAGTCCTTGAAGAATAGGCAGGTGCG